CTTTTCGGGCATTTTGTATGGAATTTATTTTCACTGATTTGTGATGAGTTTAATGTGAAATATAGGAAAAGAAGTATATTCGCTGGATTTTATTTTCAGGAATCATCCCTTCAGCGAAAACAGCGAAAATAAATTCCAAGCGAAAATAAAGTATTCTACAGTAATTGTTGAATATGGATACTGTGAACCATTTTGAAGCAGCGTCAAATCTTATTTTAAAAAATCTTTTGATGTTCAAAGGGAGTAATTTATTATATTACAGTCGGACCTGTGTTAATAAAAAACACTTGCCTATAGTAACCACTTTTAGGTATTCCCAAAACATAATCAATAATTTTCATATGTGACCTCAGTAATATTTTTGCAGTTTCATCTTTGTTCGGAAACAAAAATAATGAGCGTTCTGTTTATAAAAATATTTTAATTTTTTTCAAATCAAATAAATGTGTTTTGGTTGCAACAGTACCATGTCATTATTTTATGGACAAATATTATAAAAAAAATAATCTGCCCTTAATATAAAGACCACCTGTTCATAAAAGATTATTTTCATGAACTCTCTTTAATCAATGCACCATTCAATTAATTCTCAGTTGGTCAGTCGGTCCATCGTTTGAATCATTGACCAGTTCATCCAGCCTTCAATTTTTTCGTCAATCAATCGATCAATCAATCTTTTTTTATCTATAGATACCAGCATCAATGAGATAGAAGAATGTTTCAAGGGTTTCCTCACCAGATCAGACATTGCTATTATTTTGATAAATCAGAATATAGCGGAACTCATTCGTCATGTCATTGATCAGCATACAATACCCATTCCGTCTGTTTTAGAGATTCCATCTAAAGATAGTCCGTATGATCCAAGTAAAGATTCAATTCTCCGGCGAGCTAAGGTGAGTCAGTGTAAACATTTTAATAATTTATTGCAAAAATCCAAAGCGGTCGAGCATTTCCAACCAGGCTTTTTTTAGATTGAAAAAACTTGAGCCAAAAAAGGCATCAATTCACTATTTTGTCATAAAAATCTGGGCTGTCGAATATCAGTAATACAGAAGCATTGAAAAAAAGTTTTTACTGTTCTCGGAAGCAAAAATTCGAGCATTTTTACTGCCTGGCTGTCACATGCAACGTAATATTACCGTAATTGGTATAGTACAGGTGTGATGGTTCAAATACCAAAATGGCAACAGTAACAGAAAGACTTCCCTGGCGGCGATGATAAAATACGAACACGGAGCCAACAGATGAGGTTTCAACTGGTACTGGTAATATACTCTGCAAACATCAAGTACAATAATGCGGTAAAACTCCACTACTCCAGTAACTAGATACTTAAACTCCAATACAATTCAACGAGATCTCCGATCTGAACTCAGTGCTGAACAACTCCACTAAATATACCCACACTGTCTATAAATAGACCATTACATCAGCATACATAATGAGTCTGGAACTTACTACAAATTTCTAGAATGTTCCATTACCTTCTATTGCATCATACAGTGTTCTATTACCTATTCAACCAGTTTCTAAACAAAATCTAGAATATTCCACCCAGACACAGTACGGTTCTAGAACATTCTCAGTGACACGGAAGTGGTACATAAGTCGTATGCGACACTGGCATCCACAAACAGTAAAAAAATCGCAGAAAACTGTACTTGGGGATAGTTGTTAGGTCGTCCCTGAAGAGTGTAGCAAGATTACCCCTACATGTACAACATGTATAAATTTGTCTCATAGTTGAGTTTGTACTGCTCAGCTGTTTTCACCGGCTCTTTGACCGGCATTCCACACCAGCTCGCACAAAACCCATAGAAATACATGGTACAGTGGTACATGTCTTAGCAATGTAGAACGTTCTTTGTTCATATAAACCAAAAACCAAATTAAAAAATTATTTTCCCTAGGGCAAGAAGAAAAACTTTTTTTTCCTTTTTTTTTGTCCTAGACCAAATAAGATATAAAGCACTAACACTTTTTTTATATCTTTTTCACAGGGTATGTTCAATGCAGAAGATTTCCGGTAAAACAAATATAACTAGAAGATAAGATATAGAGATTGTAAATTTAAATATTCAATGTATTCACAAATTTCCAAAGGTAATGTTGATCTGATTGGAGGGCTTATTTGTGAAATAAACGTCGCTGCAGCGGGAGCCCAAAAAAATACACTCCAGTTAAAGCATATATATAAGGCAAAATTTGATAGGTTGAAAAAATAAACTTTTAACAAACAAGCTGACTTTTGATTGGCTTAGATGTTTGACTTTATCAAATTCTGCATTGTGTATCTTCTTAGACTCAACTGCAACTGCATGGTATCCAAGCTAGTAATAGACCATTTTCCGTTCACTGCGAGAATCGCGCGTCATGTATGAAATCAAACATAAAAATAGGACAAACAAAGGTCATAGCATCGTAGTGGCGTCAAACATCGCATGGGATTCGACAAACGCAAAAATATTTTGGGGATATTTCCATGCTTAATAATGTGCTGTACACATTTGATGATAGACAATTTCGATTAAGTGAGGGTATTCGAAAGCAATATTCCTCTGTCGAAGATCGGCCGGTCGATGTGAGCTACGAAATTAAGAAATTCAAGTTCAAAATCAAATCGTTTGATTTTTGCAGCAGCTGTTCGACACACATCTTTCATGAATCTCGCGAGATCTCGCAGTTGAACGGAAAATCACCTATTGGACAATATGAAGCTGAAACAGTACAGTCCGAGTGTAACTTAACTTCCAAGCTGGCCTTGCCTTTAGGCAGGGGTTTTGTCTAAACCGGGGAACGGGGGCGCCGCACCCTGATTCTCTCGGCTGGTGCCCTCTTACCGCGAATTACCAATTGAACATTCAAGTCATAAATATATTTCTTGAGCCGCGAACTTACAACATGAAATCTTTCTCAAATATATTTTTCTCCGTGAAAACTTCCCAGCAAAACCAGCTGATAATGTGTCTGGACACCAAATACACTAAAATTACTCCAAAAATATTTCAATGGCGATAGATATACCATTAAAACAGTGAAGATATGGCTTTTCAAGGTCGATCCGCTCTTTCACACCTACCACCTACTCTGCTCCATCGTCTGTGTGTGCTCCCTCTTGTTCAATTTTTCTAGAAAAAAACCCTGTCTAGGTATCACAGCCATTAATATTTTCAACTTATTCTTTGTAGTATTTACCTAAGTTACTAACACAAGATGGATTTAGGAAGAATACGCTGTACAATTTTGATATGTTGCAGTTTTGAAAGCAAGCTATTTGCATGGCAGTTTGAATCAAATTCAAATTCTTACTACAGAATCTGGCTAGCCAAATTTTGAGATGTGAAGAAATAATCCCACCATAGAAACCAGGGTAAAAATACCAATTTCGACCATTTTGAAAAATTGTCTGGTTCCCCCATTTCTTTTTTTTTCATTTTCAATTTCCTGATGGTATAAACCCATAATAATAAAACCTTTCAAATATGATATACAGGGATTTTTTTTAACATGGGAACAGGGGGGGGGGGGCACAGGGCACTCATGCCATGGCCATGCGCCCCCTCACCCTGGGGAGCAAACCCTCTGGAAACCATAAAATTCTGATTGATCAGGGATCACATGTGGGCACAGTCTTCAACTGTGACCTGACTGATAGTAATTTTGGCCCCAAGGAAGCCATGGAATGCTCCATTTTAACTTAAAATTATCAAAAACTCCACATCCTGAAAAAAAAAACCCTATCTCCCCTGCAGTTTTTTTTCTGGAAAAAACCCCTGACATACAATCTGCAGTTTGGCTCAAACCTTGTTTGCTTAGACTGTACTGTGTGGCTCACTTACTAAGGAACTACAGTTGCTATGGTCCTATGTAAATTAGGATGCGTTACAATGAAAGAAATACAACTTGTACTAATTAAAGATAATTATGTTGTTCTTGAGAGTAATGAATTTGTTAATCTGCTTTGACCAAAAATGGTCTCATAAATTGGAACCAAAGTCTGACCTCTTACTTTAACTTTGACCTTTCTGTATAATACTTGACCTCTCAGTTCAACTTTGACCTTTCAGTTCAAAATCTGACCTCTCAGTTCAACTTTGACCTTTCTGTTCAATGTCTGCCTGGTCTCACTTCAACTTTGACCTTTCGGCTCAAAATCTGACCTCTCAGTTCAGCTTAGCCATTTATGTTCAAACTCTCTAGATTTGATCTGTTTCAATTTGATGTTGAAATTTGAGGTTGACCTCTGCTCTCCAAATCATAGTAGTAAATATCAATTTGTTTAAAAATGTACATATTCACTGTTTTCTCGCATTTCCAGTTTGATTTTGTAGATTACCAAATTTTATCTGTAGAGGGCAGTGTACAAAATTTACTTGAATGTATTGATTATTTGTGGTGGTGGTGTTGGTTTAATTACCGGTAATTCTTAGGTCATGCACTACTAATAAGGGAAATACGATTAATGCAATTTTGGTAATAGTTCCTTAGGGGCCCCCTCACCCATAACAACCCTCCAGTACCCCTTTTTGGGTCATTTATTAATTATTTAGAGGGGCATAATAGGGATGAGAGGGCTTTAACCTTTTCATCACCAGTTTCCTCTTTTCATCACAAATTCACAAAACAGTCCATTGTATAGTCTGCACTTTCCTTCTGAAGATTGGGACAAAAATAGCAAAAATTTTTTGAGCAAAAACTGAAAATGGACTAAAATTTTTTCTGTTGGCTTCAAAATTAGGGTTCATTCCTAGAAATATTTAAGAATATTAAAAAAACATGCAGAAAAATTTGGGCTAGACAGTCTGGTCGTGAAATGGTTAAAGCGGGAGGGTGGTCACCTGTGCACGCGCGAGAATTGAGTCCCAAGCGACGTTAACACAAAGGCTAAAAACGCAAAGTCTCATGGGTAGACACTTTTTTGTAAACAATGACATGCTATGGCCATCTGACGCATGTGCAGGTGACGACTCCCCTGCTTTAAGGAACCGATTCCATTGTTTTTAGTTTATGGGCATCTTCTATATGAGGCAGACTTCTAATAGAGTAAATACAGTAGTTTTTATGTATTCATCTTAGATGGTAGAATCATTGTTATACAATTATGTCAACCAATGTTAATGTTTGTATTGTATAATAAATAATATGAATTTCACTGTGTACGTTTGACTTATTCTGTACCTCTTTCACGTGGTTTACTGTCTGAATTTGTGTAGTTGAGTGAGTCAAATCATTTACTGTGAAATATTTTATTTTAGCTGGAGTTAATTTCCACTGAAATTACTTTTCGTGTGTTTTGTGTGGAATTTATTTTCACTGATTTCTGGGTTGAATGAAAAATATAGGGAAAAAAAGGTATACTCACTGGGTTCTATTTCACTGAATCGTTGCTTCAGTGAAAATGAATTCCAAGCGAAAATAAAGTATTTTACAGTATTGTTTGTAGTATTTTACCCATGTTACTAATATAAAACACGTTTAGATAGATTACTCTGCAAAAAGTAGATTTATGGCAGTTTTGAAAGCTACTGTGAAATACTTTATTTCAGCTGAAATTAATTTTCACTGAAATTACATTTCGGGTGTTTCGTATGGAATTTATTTTCACTAATTTTTGATGAGTTGAATGTAAAATATAGGAAAAAAAGGCATTTTCGCTGGATTTTTTTTTTCACTGAATGATTTCTTCAATGAAAATTAAATTTCAAGCAAAAATAAAGTACATGTATTTACAGTACTGTAAAACATGCTGAAATGGCTAATTTGACACTCAATGCATGAATTAAAAGTGCCAACAATCTCATTGTGAGAACATACAGTATTTTCTCCTAAATTAGCGTCACAAGCTTAAATAACATGCTAGATAAAGACATCTAAACATGGCAGAATTTCATCTCAAAAAAAAATCCCCCTAATGAGTTTCCATAGCGACCATCTAATTTTCCAGGACCATACAAACCAGAATTAAGGTTTCCATACATTCCGAGACTCGCATTTTTCAACAAGTCCAAACAAAGACAATACACATTGTTTGTGCACACGTACATCAATATTTTAGAGATCCAATTCACGATGGCCGACTGGCAGCAATTTTTCCCACTATGGCCGACTGGCAGCCATTCTCTACCATGCAATGATCCATTGTCAAAGTTTGTATACAGATACATCTTTTGTGATCCAACGGTTTCTTGGAGATGAAAAATATGGCAAAAAATAACGCAGCAAGAAGTGAAGGATTCAATCATATTTTTAATCAATACGTCTCCTCAGCAGTCACCAATAGCTAATTTCATTTTATTCGGTTACAATAAATTAAGTAACTCCACCAAAAATTAAATTTCAAAAAATTATCATTTATATAAAAGTATATCATAACCCACATACAAGTAAATTAAAGGGCCATGGTTGTCGTGCAGTGCATGCTGAAATTTCATGTAAACAAATGTAAGTTATACATGTAGCTATGGGACCCACTACAAACAGGACACACAGCGCAACAACCACTGCCCTTTAAGCAAGCTATATCACATAATACAAAGTTATGATTCTCCAATGTTTACGAAGAGAATAGTCATGTTGGG